GTGATTCCTGCCAAGCTGTCGTGTTATTTTTGTTGAGTATTATTTTGAATATCATCATTGAAATACTAACGCATGAACAACGTTTTCAAATCGTTCAACTTTATAATGACAAATTCACGTTCTGTAACGAATGTGTTTCGCGCGCTTCGCTCAACTTATGGTTAACATAATCGACCTACTGTGCGTACTATTCGCGACACCATCACTCAACTTGAGACCCGGCGTTCATTATGGGATAATATTCGAATAGGCCASGTATAGCACGCGGTGAAGAAAAATATCAGCCGTAGCTGAGAGTGAACACGAAAAGCGCGGAGAGTCGATTCGGCGCCGTTCGCCGCAACCTGGACTTACTATACGTCAGTGGAACGACTTGGTTCGTTTTATGTAAAGTTCAGCGATCAGACCCATTTCTGGCTCAATGGGCATGTAAAGAAGCAAAATTGACGCATTTTGGACGAAGCGCAACCTGAAGAGATTCAAGAGCCATTTCATACATAAAATACAACGGTTTGGTGTGGTTTGTATACCGGTGGAATAATCGGTTCATATTTCTTCAATAATGATAACGGTAAAAACGTAACCGTCAATGGTGACCATATTCGCGCCATGATCACGGCTATTTGAGTCCTAAAATTGAAGCTCGTGACCTCGGTGTTATTTGGTTTTAACAAGACGGCGCCAGTTCCCACACATCGCATCAATCAATGGATTTATTGAGAGAACACTTCCGTGAGCAGATAATTTGACGTAAAGTCTAAAGTCTTGGCGGACAATTCCGCTTCGATCGAGCAGCCTGGAATGAGGTTAATTTAGGCTGAAATAATGGACTCTAGAGACCCTAGCAGTGTCTTGAAATACTAGCAACACAGAATGTACCCAACCTATAGCCGGTTCAAATTTGATCTCAAAGAGATGCAACCTCTACTTTACAATAAAAATTAGAAAATTTCTTGTTAAAAAAAAAACAATTAAGGAAGGGCTAAGTTCGGGTGTCACCGAACATTTTATACTCTCGCATGACAAGTTTCATCAAGATATCTCAATTTTTACGGACGGACGAACGGACATAGTACTCTCCTTAGCAACTTTGTTAAGAGAGTATAAAAAAATTGTTTGTGGAAAAAGCACCAAACACGAAAAGCAGAGGCTTTTTAAATATTATAGAAAATCCGCCCCAGCATATTCAATGTTCAAGTCCTGGTTTGCTGAATTTTGGCATAACCGTATACGAAAATTTAGTGAAGTTACTGTTATAAAAAAATACTTTACTTTTTACTTCATATGTATGTATATTAAATTTCTATTATAAAATTATCAGTAGCAACAATTATTAAAAGGTTTATTGAACAGATCGACAAGGAATTAATGTACACATGTAAACAGCCATAAATAGACCAATAAAATAGAAATTATATAATGCTTAAGAAATTTATAGAGCAATCAATTTTATCTACTAGGTACAACCATACCATAAGTATAAACATATGCAAAAATACGTAAGGCATAGCTAAGTTCGAGTGTAAACGCACACTTATACTCTCGCTATTTGTCACATCTAAAATGTTTGTTTCAATTCTGCCAAAGAAATGTTTTGGTGCGACAAAGTGGCATGGGCCAATGAATTGCCGGCCGAACTATTCAAATACGGCGGAGTAGCCCGCTCTGCGCCACCGTCCAAGATGATGAGGATAGAACTATGTATTGAGATGCGGTCCCACACTACGGAGGAGTTGCTCCGCATGGAGGTCAGTGTGGGGATAGAACATCATTGGTAGTAGATAGTAGGAATGCGCCATGCAAAGCTACTTCTGGAAGGTACAAACTTGCAAAGTTTAAAGAAATAATCAACCTCCTCCGAGATAAATTACACCTCCTTGTCGCGCTCTATACAAGGCACTGCAGTTCAGGTTGGTAGACCAACATGGGCATAGTCTTTTGTGTAAACTGCGGGTCTGCGACATAGAATATTCAACTTCTAGTTTTGGGGCAGTGTGACCTTTGTGACCATATGTGATATAAGAGAGGGCATACTAGATCAGGTCACAGGTCTATACTTTGCCTAATCGGTGAGTTGATTCGCAAAAAATGAGATCCTTTTCGCTGAAGAAAAAAGTATACTTTTAGCATCACGTCGTACCGGCCAACACTTACGCCGTTGCCACAGCTAAAAATGGTCGAATTAGTGATTAATTCTCTGTGGGTCACGGTTACAAATTTTTCATACGGAAAATAAAATAGTAAATAAAAATAAAGTCAAATAAAAAAAAAACACTTGCCTTGGGGCAAGCAGAGTCAAACCTCACAAGTGTATTGCTAACATGAGAAATGCTCTCACACAATCCATCAGTCATTAATATGTGGAAAATAAACATTGTAGAAGCCACTATTTTAAAGGTACATGTTTAACATGTACTTCGCGATTCAATTATTTTTAGAACACACATGCACACACTCAACTGTTCATTTCAATTAACTAAAGCATCATTTAGAAATACATAAATATATCATCGACAAATTTCACATAATGATATATGATTTCAACACATGTTGATGTCAGCACCTAACAATGCATTTCACAAAAACGAAAATAAAAATAGTCATACGCAATATATTTTCCAAATATTTAAACTTAAAATAGTCGAAATAGGTTTTGCCAAAATAAATAAGTTGCAATAAGAAAATGAGAAAAAATTAATCGCATATGTATGTATGCGCATATGAATGGATGATGATTATATCTGTTATGCAAAAATCATACCCACTTCTTGAAGTAGATATTTAATATGTAGGTATCTGTTAGTTTCCCCACTAATAAGTCACTTTTTGGTCACGGGAAGACAAATGAGAGGATTAACTGGCAACCACCATGTGATATTTTTAATAAATACAAATGTACACACATCTCTACTACTATATGTAGGTATGTATGTATATTCATGCTTACGTTATACTCCTTCCAACAGTCACACATAATTATAGGCGAGTGCGTCAGGTTGACTTGGAAATGCACTCATACAAACATACAGATGGGCAAATAAAAAGAATTTATATGCTATTTGCATATAGCCTTTATTTATTTACGAGTAAATAGTGCGGCAAATTTGTCTCAAGCAACAAACATTCGTACATACATGTATGTATGTATGTATAGTTTTGGTGTGGGCGTACAATTTCGCACTTGACTGATATGTTATGCGTTTTTATGCGAAAATTTTCACTCAACACGTGAGACATTCGGAATTAATTTTCATTCGTCAATACGACGGCAGATAATAAGTGGCCTTCTATTGGTTTGAAACGGTAATTATGAAGTAGAAAGGCCAATTGCAAATTGTATGATGCGTAATTTTATAAGAAAATTTATGATTAAGTAAAAATTATTATCAAAAAGAAAGTATTCCCGAATTTCGAGTGTTTGTGAATCTAGGCTAAATTTCGTATGGATAAATGATTTGTGATTGGTCGGTGCGTTTTATGGTACATTATATGTACATATTGGAGGATGGAGCCATGTTTCGAAATTCAAGTACGTCAGGAAAGTTGTCTGGGAATGGGTAGCCAAAAACATCTGTTTGAAGGCTCCATATTGTTGTGCACTGGGTTTGGGACTAGCCACGTAAAAAACACTAATAATGAAAAAGCATAAACAGCCTCGGATAATAGACCCCCTCTTTGATGACGACCATAGCAAACGCACTAAGGATAACGATTTAAGAGCATGCACCTGGAATGTCCGGTCCTTTAATTGGGAAGGTGCCGCTGTCCAGCTGGTTAATGTTTTTAGAGTGAAGACTGACATCCCCGCCGTCCAAGAAATGCGATGGACAGGACAAGCACTACGGCGAGTAGGTCCTTGTGGCATTAACTGCAGTGGCCTTATAAAGAAGTGGAAATTCGGTGTATGATTCATGGGGGGAGAGAAACTCTGTCGCCGAGTACTATTATTCACTCCGGTGGATAAACGTTTAACCACAACCCGCAACAAAGTGAGGTCCTTCAACATATCGTTGTCGGTAAATTAAGCCTTCTCGATAAAACGTCCTGTTCGACTTCGCCTGGGACCGAAATGTGGTCATCTGTAGCATAAGATTCCAGCATGGAAAAATTCATCGAAAAGCCACCAACCAGATCGAGGCCCTAACATCGACTCGGACTACTATCTTTTTGCAGCCAAGATAAACAATTTTTGGTCACAAAGTGAAATACTCAAAGTTGTACCGCGTTATATTAATTTCTTCTTGATGTGTATACCGACAGGTGAAAGAGTGAAACAAAATGTAAAATTGTATTATATGGGAAGTAGGCGTGGTTGCAGTCCGATTTCGTCCCCGATGTTAGAGGATTGTCATGCACCAAATTTGTTTGAAATCGGTCAAGCAGGTCGTGAGATATGTTAGTTCCACTGTTAGATTTTTTGCACCGGCTCCCTTAAAGCCTTCTCATACCATTTCGGGGGTTAAATTTGATGTCTCTAGCGTATTAAGTTCTTGACTTCTCGCGCTTTAAGTAGTTTTTAACAGTACCGTTATATGGGAAAAGGTGGAGTTATCATCCGATTTCATCCATTTTCACCCGATTGGTAACAGTTCCTATGAGAATTGTCATAAGCGGATTTAGCTACTATAGCGGTCTCGAAATATGTAAATTGATCCTATCTAGGGCTGGACCATGCCCACTTTTTCAAAATTTTCAGCCCACTGGTGACCCTTGCTACTGCAATCCTATGTGCCGTCTTCTAATCATTTATATATATATATATTTCGCTTAGTTTTAGGTGACACATGCAACCGTTAGGTAAACAAAATTATTGTACTCTATAGCAACATGTTGCAAGAGTATAAAAATAAATGCAAGCATTTACCAACACTATTGGTTGTCATAGAAGTTGCTCTAATTTTCATTCATAACAATTTAATCAATAAATACACGACAGAAAATGAAGAAAAATTCAAACAACAAACAATAACAATTCGATGAATATTTAATAATTAAATCATTGATCCAGATTGAAAAGAAAGTTCTCTTCAAAATTTTACGCATATAATACGCATATTTTTTAGATTTCAAATCTTGTGATTTGTTTAACTTTTGTAACGGAAATGGAGGAATTACGTGATGCCAGCATACATCACACGGCGCAAAAGCTCGCCGTTGCCATAAAAGCAATGAAGAATTATGATGAGATTTTTAAAAAAGTGCAGGTAAGCGAAAGGAAAATCAATATACTCCACCTTTAGAATGAATGGCTAGAATGAACTTCTGATTTCGTTAGATACTAGCTTGCAGCCCAGGGGTTGACAAAAATGACTTACGCAATACTCTGGAAGATGCCATCAAATCGACTGGCCTCGAAACCGAAATCCGCAATATTGTATTCCATTTAGTTCGCAACACACTAATTACAGAGACAAAGTCACAGGAGAAGTTAGGACATAGCGCCGACCCGTTGTCTTATTTGCGACGCTCGGCTGTGCAATGGGATCGTCGTGTGCGTAAAAGTTTGAATGCAATGTGCGCCGAGTTGAGTATGCCGCTGCATGGACAGCCACGCGCCGTGATGGATCGCGATGAGTTGATTAGTAAATGGGAAGAGCTAAGCAATTACACAATCGGTGAGTACTTGGTTGTGCAGTTATCGATGGAGCTATGGATGACGAACTTTTTTTAAGGGAGCAATCAGAAAACTGAGTGGACATCAGTACACTCTTTTATAGGCAGTTTTCAGGGAAGTGGCTATAATTTTGTAAGCTTTCAGAACTAGCATTTATGTGGGTGAAAAATAATTAATCGGTTTGCTCCAGTTGAATATCGTTAGACTCATCCTTTCGTTAAAGAGAGAAAAGATTAACAAAGAGCTTTTTAAGCTCTTTAGGCGACCACTTTTTTTCGTATTCGACAAGTTATTATGCTTTGCCGAACTCAACTTATTGAAACCCAGCTGTAGACCGTAATCGCATGACATCTGTTGCCAAAGAACCCAGAATCTTTAGGAGTCACTAAAGAAGCCATTTAAACCCGTTTAAAAGCAACCGGATAAATTCCAAACCAAGAAAACTGGGTGTCATATGAATTGAAGCCAAAATACGTCACTCAAGAAGTAATTTAAAAGCATTTGAAATCATTCGGATAGAATCCAAACCAAGAAAACTAGGTGTCATATGAATTGAAGTCGAGAGATGTTGAAAAACGATTTTGATTGTCAGACGTTACAAAAAGAAATCGTTTTTGCATCGGTTTATGACCGGTGATGAAAAATGGATCCATTACGAAAATCCCAAACTAAAAAATCATATCTGAATCTGGCCGAACAGCTAATTCTACGCCGAATCTAAAGCAAAAGTGGCCATGGAGGTTCTATAGGCCAGACCTTGCCCTTCTGACAACCATTTGCTCCCGTCCCGTTAAAACAGGACAACGACTTGTGACCGGTGATGAAAAATGGATCCATTACAAAATTCCCAAACACAAAAAATCATATCTGAACCAGCCCGACCAGCAAATTATACGCCAAAGTTTAAGCAAAAGGTGCCGAGGAGATATGCTTAACCGGCCTTATAGCTTAAACGTTGGCCTTCTGACTATCATTTGCTCCGGTCGATGCAGAACGACCTGACTGAAATACGGTTCACATTAAAATGAGGTATCTAAAATAGGCTGATTCATTCTTGGCCGCCAAGCCGGTTCTTCTTTTGGGATGGAAAATGTTATAGCTTCAAATAGGCAATACTTTGAATAATACTATTGTACATTTTTTCTCAAACAATCTTTCAAAGTTTGCAAAAAATTTACACGAATGTAGGTTAGTCAGTTAAATATATTTGGATTGGGTGCATTTAACTGACTTCAAAAAAACGGATAGGGTTTGAAACTAAGATACAACGAGTTGAAGTCAAGACCACAGCCTATCATAAGACGTTGAGAATATTGCTACCTTGTGCTTTGGTGAAGCGTAATTCCAGCTTTTCGTCTAATAATTGTCTTATGATTGGCAAATTAGTCTTCAGACCAATGTAAAAGGTTCTCGACTTTATGAAACAATATTACATATAAGAATGATTCCAAAATATTTTTTGCACGCAATTACAGTACAAATATTCTTTTTACCATCTTACTAGATCTTTCCAACTACCGACCTGTGTATGCGCCAAAGGATCTCTTGGATGTGCTACTCTCACTCAAAGGCCCACAAAAACCGCCCGAAGACACTGAGTTTGTGTACATTTTCCCTCATTATTTTACCTCACTTTTGCCTAAAAACAAATTTAAATTTTATAACTATAACTTAATTTTCTCAAATTTTTTGTAGACAAGTGCCTAACTGGGAGTTCTCACACATCGAATTACCAGTCAAAAATCTCTTCGAATTGGTAAAATAGCATATTTTGTAGTAATATATAATATAAATAATAGTAATATTAATAATAATGTCAAATAAATTTATCACCACATCAAGCGTCTATTATTCGCTGAATTGTTTCGCAAAGAGGGTACAACAAATAATTTAGACTTACCCGCACAATGTAAACGTATACTGGACACCAAGCAAGCGCCACTTTGTCAACACTTTCTGAAAAAGGGCAGGACGCCGGCACCATTCCGTGGCGAACTCTGGTCTTTTGTGCTGTCGCATGGCAGTTACATGAATGGACAGGTTGGTGAGCGGTGGTTTTGTTGCTGTCAAGTAACAGTTTTATGTTACACTTTTAGACACACTGAACTTTATGATCACTTACGATCTTTTTTATTAATATAAGATATCACTGAGCTTTTATGTATACACTTCTCTCACATTTGTATGGTATGCTTTACTTCACTCATTCACTCACTTTTTAAAACTTTTTTTTATACACTTTTCTTCACTCATTCATTCACTTTTCTTTCTTTTCACTACCTTTAGGAATGCGATCACTGGGCGCGTTTGCGCAACAAAGTTTTAACCACCGATCATATTGTGGACAAACTGATCTTCAAGGATATTCAATTGACTGCTTCCAATGATGATCAGTATTTTGTTTTCGAAGATGTGCTCTATCAGATAATGCTTTGCTTCTCACGCGACACAGAAATCGCTAATCAAATACAGTTTGAGAAATATCCGGTAAAGGGTAGAAATTATGAAGGACCACCGTCGGGTGTGGTGCCCTTCCACGGCATCTGCATGTTTGGTAAACTACAATGAAACTTCTGCTCATCTCGCATGTTGATTTAGTCTTAATTACGCTCTACTTTTACAGCGGCGCCATTTTGTTATCTTTACGATTCGTCTATAAATTTGTACTTCACATTTCGCGCCTTCTATATACGTTATTGCCATCGTTTGACCACAATAAATACACATCCACAAGTTAGTATCAAGGCGCTTAGAGTATTTTGTGGTTAGTCACGTGATTAATATTGTCATTGCAGGGCATTGTTAGCTTGTGTTTGTTGTTTGAGAAGCTGCTGCAAACACATGAACCGCTGTTATGGTCGCATTTTCGCGAACTGCAAATACAACCGTAAGAATACTTTTATTGAAAATTATCATAAAATAGTTAAATGGGAGCTTATTTTATTTAAAAATTATAAATTTTATCTATTCAACTAGTATCAAATCAGTCTTGGTCCTAAATAATATCATATCACTTCAGTTCTTTTGCTTTTCCTTACATTAAATAACCTCATATTAAAAACTTTCGCATGCATAGTACAATTACATCAGATAACCTGTCATTTTAAGACATTGTGTTTTCAAATCTCTCTCTACCTCTCTGTCGTGATATCTGGTGCAATGCTAAAAAGCGTAATTTTAATTTATAAGTAATTGACTAGTCTTAAAATTTGAATCATTCCCATCAAATCGAGTATATCACATGAAGTAATCAAATACATATATCACTGGATGTACCAAACTAATATTCCACAAATTATTCTTGCATTCTAAATAATTCAACTATAATAGCATAATATCGCATCACATTGTAAGCTATTGCTTACTTGATATCATATCATATTAAGTTTTATCATTCACTATAGCCGTACATCATACCTTGCCATAATATAGCATAATTTTAACATACAATCACATCGCATCGCTTCTAAGTCATTGCATCAAAGCTTTCGAAAGCATATCAACCTTATTGCTATGTAATAATACGTTAATATGAATCATTATTACTTATTGCACAATATTATATTCTAGGTATTAGCCATACAATACATCACACGATATAAAATCACAATATTATTTTCTAGGTATTAAGCCATACAATACATCACATGATATGAAATCACATCGCAACATTTCATCAAATCATGTCATATGCTCTTTTTTTATTACATTACGCTTATTGTTTGCCTGAACATTACTAGTTATATATCACATCATATTGTATATGTTGTTATACATACTACTATAACCAAGAAATAGTAAAACTTTGTTCGTAATTTTAAAGTTCTTAATTTATTCTTCAAAATCTACGTCGTCAAAGTTTTTTTCCCAATTCTCTAAACAGTTATTAAAGCCAATGTATAGAATAGCCTTCAATGCGCGCAGCGATTCATGTTTAATGTCTTCAATTGACTTCCCGGAACGGTCGTTTGAGTTTACTGAATAGCCATACGTTACACGGAGCTAACTCAGGTAAACAAGATGGTTGCGGCACGATATTGATTGAAAATTTGGCGAAAAACTATCGAGGAATCAATGCAGTACACGCGACGGTGCATTATCGTGGTGCAAAAACCAAGTGTTGTCAGCCCAAAACTCCGCTGTCTTTTTACGAATAACTTCATGCAAACGAAGCATAAAACTCAAATAGTATACTTTCGACTCTCGAATATATTATTGTTATTGTTGAATGTATTTAGTGATTTTGGAACCAATCGTGCTTTCACTTTTTTCAAATAATCTTTCAAAATGGTTCTCACTGATCCTTCCGATATTCCAACGATACCGGTAGGATCACCAGCAGTTAATCGTCGATTCTCAAACACCAATTCCTTTATTTTTTTGACGTATTGATCATCAGTTTATGTTGATGGCCTTCCTTCTCGACCCTCTTTAAATAATGTTTACCAATCAAAAGCACAAAACGATTATCACTGAAGACCTTTTCCAACATTTTAAACGTTTCGGCACCAGAAATGTTATTCCGCACACAAAATTTAATGAAACTTCTTTGTTGAATAATAAAAAAATCGCCGAATGCACTTTTTAATATATTTGTATACTTCAGACAGGCAAGCGTATACTAAACTCAAATGTTTTTTTTGATGTGACATTTGGCATAGATGTCACTGACAGTCGTACCAGCCAAGAAAAAGAAATATTTCGACGAATGGGGTTTCGCGCGTAATTTAAATTAAAAAGTCTTACAATTTTTTGCCCTCAGATTTAAGATTACTGCACATCATATCATTATATCATATCGTATCATTAGTAAATGATATCACCTCTTAAAATTATACGATATTACTACAGCAAATCAAAATTTTTTATGTATATCATCCTATATGATACTATGTAAAATGATATTAATAATTATAATAATACAATAATACATGCGCCATAGTATTTCAGAGAGAATTGGAGAACATCAAACTTAGCATATTAGAGCATTTAGAGAAAAAATATAAGAGATACCACTTTCAAGAGTAGTGTATCAAATACATAAATCAATTTACACTTGCAAACACATCACATCACAATATTTTATCAAATCACGTCATACTATTTGCTATAAATTATTTCATTTCATATTACATTGTATTTCTCTATTTCAAAAAGCAACACCATTACTTTGCTGATTTTCACATGACATCGCATCATAACATTTCATATTTCTATATCAAGCAATCACATCATCAACTCATATACACATACACATATAAATCACTTATGTATTACATTATATCTTTTTTTGATCTCATCCCAAGTTTAATATATACATATAAAAATAACAATTAACAAAATAAGTCTTAAAAAACATATCACCATATCACACGATCTTAACAATACAGATACAATAATTATTTCTCTCACGCATACAGTTGCTTTAAAATAATCATATGAGAACTTATAAATTCATTACACACTTTTGTTATAATATCACATACCTCATTTTTATATTGTATTAAAGAAGTGTATTTCCTTTCATTTTAGCATCCGTGTAGTCTTCAAATGGCTTATGCGCGCCTTCAGTGGTCATTTACCGCCGGATCAGCTGCTCATACTGTGGGATTTGGTACGCTCAAATATATAATTTTTTTTGTTTTCAAAGTTATAGTACTTTTCTAATAGTTGTTTTCTTTTCAATTTTTTTTTTCCAAAATTACAGTACCTTTCCAATCATTTTTAAATTTTTTTGCAGATACTTGGCTACGACAGTTTGGAAGTGCTCTCACTCTTCGCCATAATTATTTTAAGTTTCCGCAAGGACAGTCTCTTACAGGTCACATCGCTAGATAATATTGAGGCAATATTAGCAGATCTGTCTTCGATTAAGGTGTTGCCACTTATACAATTGGCACTATGTCGCGATTAGAATGCGTGGCTCATATAAAAAGATGATCATGATGCTTTATTTTGTACATCGAAAATTTATATGTATGTGATATTTATATGAATTTATTTTGTATTTATGTATTTGTAGTGATATTTTTAAATAAAATATTAAAATTGTATGAAAAAAAATTTGGAATTTTGCATTTTGTTTGTTTTGAATAGCATAAAAAATAGTTACAAATAATAATATTTATGAAACAAAATTTAATTTT